GGCGTGGGGGAATAGGATAGCAAATTGGCTGACAGTTTTTACATGTCATGATGTGGAGTCCCGTAGCTTAGTATTAGAGCACTCGACTTGCAAGCAAGAGGACCCGGGTTTGATACCTGGGCGGGGCAAACCTTTCGGCAAGTTTCCTTACTCCACATGCCTCTGTTTATCCAGCAGTAATTAGGAACCCGGGTGTTAGTTGATTGGTGAATTGCTTTCCGTGGATAATAAGCCCACCAAAAAAAAATTGGTCCCTCCATCCAAGCCTATTTGTGATACACTGCTGTGTGTAATTAGCTGCAGCATTTCACCCAGAAATTGCACAGTGAATTCACTTTCCAATATATTCTGTGAAGCGCTTTGAGACGTCTCATCGACATGATAAACCGCTATATCCAATGCAAGGATTATTATATTATTATGATGTCAGCTGGCACACCGGCAGTGGCATGAAATGCACTCTGAAGCAAATCTAATTCACGTTGCTGAATGGGAAGTTAACATTTAAATGACAACAACAACAAAATTAAATTTGTAAAGTGCCTTTCACAGCAGAAGGACGTCCCAAGGTGCAGGACAGACGAGCTGGGGGGTGGGGTGGGGGAGGGTGGGGCCAGGGGGCGGAAGCAGGAGATCGAAAGCACAGTCGAAGAGGAGGATCTTGAGATGGGTCTTGTATTAGGCAAGGGAGGGGGCGAGGCATATGGAAGTTGACCCCATGTCTGCAGATGATTTCACCAAGAGTGACATAGAATTGCCGGTGATAATAATAATCCTTACAATTGATATAGCGCCTTATCATAACTTTGAGACATCTCAAAGCACTTCACTGTATATACAACAAAATGAATTGACTGCATATTTGGTGGGTGAAACGCAGCAACCAATTGCGCACAGTAGTCTCAACAACAACAACAAGATTACATTTGTATAGCGCCTTTCACATCGGGAGGACGTCCCGCGAACAGTCGTGGATTGAAGTGACCAATTTATTATTTTTTTGAAGGAAAAGCGATCTGAAAAGCGATCCACCAATCGACTAACAACCGGGTTCCTACTTGCTGCTAGGTAAACAGAGTTGTGTGGAGTAAGGAAACTTACCCAACATTGTGTCCTGATGGGAATCAAACTCAAGTCTCTCGCTTGATATGTGCTTTCTGGAGATGTTCTTGAACCATTGCAGTTTTGACTAAAGATGATTGTAATAATTATCATCAACACTTCCATTTGTACATATTGTACCTGTGTATGTGTAATCAGACTGTATGGAAACTATTCTGTCTTAAAACCCACAACCCGATCAGGTAACACCTCCCAACATTTCAACATTAAAGCACACAAGTAATGTGCTCACCTGGTGTTGTTTTTCATCCCTCTCTATTGACTGAGTCATTCACCTTATGTGGTTATTTTGTTCTCATGCTATCACTGGTGAGTTTTGCAGTGAGCCAAAATTTTAGGAATGAACTCCTGTGTGGTTGTTACCAGTGTTTTGACGAATACTGGGTTATTAAATACTGCTTCAGCAAATTGTTATGGGGTGTATTTTCAAACTAACTCCCTAGAATGCCCTTCTCAATCGCTGCTAATTGGCGTCTCGCGCATGCCCCCAAAAAACAAGAGGTGGAGCAATATTTGACTATAAAGTTTATATTTGTATTTCCAGATGCATGAAATAGTTCGTACATCTGCCTTCCTTTTCAATTTGACTCCCAACGATGCAGTTCTACTGCTCCTTCCTCTTTTAGGGCAGTGGTTTCCATCGCGTGTTGATCGACCGATTGGAGACCAGTGCCCTAGAATCATCATATCACTGACATTTATAGTATGGAAAAAGGCCATTTAGCCCATCAATTCTGAACTGGCTCTCGGATCAAGCTGTACTTGCAGACTCACTGCCCTGTCCCCATACCCCTGATCCCCACTTCTATATTGTTTTTTTAAAATATTTTTTGAAAAGCTTGATCTGTAAGAGAGAGATTACAATTGATAACACAATTGCCTTTTCCATATATTGATTTGTCAAAATTTCACAGTTATGACTGCTGTACTTGGGCTAAATCTGACTTCAATATGCTTTTTGTGATTTAGTTTTAGCCACAATTAAAATGTTGGGGATCTCCCCTTGTCCCGTGGTATTCTTGGCAATAAACGTGCCTTCTGAGTGAGGACAAGTGGCACGGATGTAGAGGAAATTGTGCAATGGGAGAAACTAAAATTGGAGTTAAGAGCCTGTTTGACTTAATTGCTTGATTCTAAATTTGCTTCCTCTATTTTTTTTTTTATCCCCGAGCCCTATGAGACAATTTTAACTAATAAACAGGTTTCTAACTGGATGATTTGTCAAACCTTATTGAATCAAGGGTTAATTGAAAAGCTGCAGTAATAAGATTAGAGCACTACCACTATCATCATATTTTCTTGTTCGCAATACCCTTCCTCCCTTTATGCATGCCACAAATGCCAACTTACTTCTTAGACAATGAGCTGAAAAAAATCAAAATGATTTGGCCATTCAAAGCCCCGATGTTGCCATGATAACCATGTTAAAACTTTCACTATACATGGGTAAGTGTGGGTGTTCGGGGGGAGAGGGAAGAGAAGTGATCGGAGTGGGGGAGGGTGTGGGATGTACCCTTGAGTGTCTTGTTATTTGTCATTTCCCCAAATTAAAAGGAAAGTTTAGTTCCCACATTCGTGCAGCCTATTTTTCTTTTAAATCTCCAGCTTATTACCATAGTTATGTTTGGATTCAAATCAGGACATTTCAGACTTTTTGTTTATAGAGATTCATTGGCACACAGTCTGGAGCAGTTGATATTCTGCGAGAAATCTAGAAGTGAATGTTTGTTTCAGGGAGGGAGGGGAGTGTTTTGACTATTTTAGAAATTGCAATGATTTAGGGTACTTTTGGAAATATTTTTCATTGTACAAGAACACCTGGAAAAATACGTCTACATTTGCTTATAAACTTGATAAATGCCTTTTGAGAACTTCGCTACTGAGCAGAGATAGAAGTTACTCGCGCCATTTAATGCATTGACGTTATCATGACATCCATTAAAGAATATTTCAATGATTCTCCAGAATGAGCAGTGGCAGTTTCCATAGCCATTTATTTATCCTGTCAGTGTCCCATACAATGCCACTGCAAGTTGTGTTGACTGATTCAAATCAAACACTGACTTTCAACCAGTTGAGCGTCCATAATTCTAGACACCGTCCAATATTCAGCTGACCCAAGTAGGTGCGTTGGAGGGCATTAGGACCTGGTAATGCCAAATCTGGAGTAAATGGCATACATTCCCTTTGACTTAATTGTTCCAACTATAAAGGAGGCTTCTTAGATATCTAGACTGCCACCAGACTATTGAACAAACAAGGCTGTAATATCCAAAAGGTCAAATGTATCTTGAGCAAATGTCCCTTTGCACATACTGAAAGAAATCAGATTCTAGCATTGGGTAACATTTGATAAATGGATATGCAAGTCTACGAAAGAACATTGACTAGAGAAATGATGAATTGCCATGTGTTTGAGCAGGGTGCCAAGAATGAAGCAGGAGCAATTAATTGCTTTGGAGATGTGAAACTGAGAGGTCTTTTGAAAAGCAAATTGGCAAAATGTCTGTTTTTCCAACTTGGGTGATGCTGTTTGAGCTGCAACTCATCTCCTTGGACGCTAATGACAATGGACAACACTGGGGCTTTGAAACGCCTTTCATGTTAAACAGGGAGCCTTGCCATCATGATCTCTTCCAAAAATCAAACAATTATAAAAATTTGTGATTAACATCCTTTTAGTTTTGTTCTGTCCATTTCTGTTTTATAAGCTTTCTTTGTTTAAGCAATGCTGCTGATATAATTGGGGTACTTGATTGAAAGTCATACGTAGCTGTTGGATAGCATTAGCATTGCTACACCCAGGTGTGCTTCGCCTCGTATAACTGTCCTCCTATGAATTGGGTTCAGCAGTCCTGCTAAGCTAGCAAAACTGGTGATATAATCAAAGCTATTTAAAAAAATGGAATCAAAAGGATATGTGTATCTTAGGTTTTGGAGCAACTTTTTAAACTCCCCAGGTGTGAAGATGGAACACGTTTTAACTTTTGTGTGAGGCTGTGAATCTATCATTTAACCCTCCCCACAGTGGACTGCAGTAACAACAACAACTTGCATTTATATAGCGCCTCTCACACAGGGCAGTGTCCTGGAGCACTTGACTGAGTATTGTAGATGTAGCCAGTGTCTTAGCTCTTCTTAGACCATGGTATCATTTATATGTGTAAAGTGTTGTGAGTTAATTGGAAGAATGAGAACTTTCATCTGAAGAAAAGATGTCCTAAAGCTGTGATTTTATTCTGAATATATTCGGCACATCTCGAACTGGTCACTTATCTAACGCTTTGTTAAAGGTTCACAGTGCTTGTATTTTGTTCCATGGGTCTCGTGTGTACCACTTCATCTTGTTTATTTTTAGTGGTGTGTTTTCCAAACAAGATACTTGTTGAAATCTTCAGTGTAAATTGTGGGGGGATAACTCAGTTAATCTTGCATTTGATATGCTAATAATTACTTAAAATCATCAGTTTTCTGTTAAAAGGCTATTTAAGCTATAGCCCACAAATATAATACATATTTTGATTGGTTTCTGAATGATCTGCACAGATTCTTATGTGTGAATTTTATTAAAAAAAGTCCTGTATAAAATTGTTGCAACACTGAACATGGTCTGGCTATAGACTCAATTTTAAGTTTCTTCCACTCTCTCTAAAACGCTAATTTCAGATGCTGTCCCTGAGAGAATTCGGGATACCTAGCTGTTAATTTGTTTTAATTTGCATTTGCCAGATCACAAAAAAGCCACTTATAGTTAATTCACGTAGGCTATGAAACAATGTTCTTTATTGACTGAGAAACTTGCAGATTATGCTCATAGATTTACTTGCTTGCTCCATGACTTGGTTTTTAATTTATTGTTATATTTGAATATATTACAGATATATGTATTGGACAGATTGGGGAGAAGTGCCAAAGATAGAACGAGCTGGGATGGATGGTACGACACGATCTGTCATCATTGACAACAACATTTATTGGCCAAATGGACTGACTTTGGATTACGAGGATGAAAAACTATACTGGGCAGATGCTAAACTGAGTTTCATTCACCGTTCAGACTTCGATGGAACCTTCCGGTGGGTGTTTTCTAAAAGCTTATCCACAGTAATCAGATAAATTATGACTTTCGACTGTTTTAAAACACATAATTACCCAGGCTTGACATTTGAAGATGATGATAGGCCATGTCTACTGCACACTTCAGTTAAGTGGTTGGAAGACTTTACCTTTAGTGCTGGGTAATTTTTTTTCAAAAAAAGTTTCCACCAGACATTTTATGTAACATTTTCCAAAAAAGTGTGTGTGTGTATGGCGGCGGGTGGGATGGTGGGGAATAATTAATCCATACTTTGATGCATTAAAAGAAACATTTCCATGGGACAAGCCTTCAGTCCTTTCATGGGAACTCATTTGAACAGAAGAAAGCATTAAGGTATACGTGACATACAAGGGATTCACACGTCCTTTACATGGGATGATGTTTCAGAACAATTCACATTGCAGGGTTGGACACCAAGGAAGGGGAATGGGAAGGTGACCATAGGTTGATTGATGAGGTAGGTTTTAAGGTGGTATTTTAAGATGGATAGAGAGGGGGAAGGTGGAAGAATAGATATTGGGAGTTCCAGATGGGAAAAGTGACTGAAGGCTTGGCCACAAATGGTGTTGCGGAGAACGTGGGGGAAGCTGCAAAGATAGTACCTTTAGTTCTGTACTTTTTTTGCACAATCCCGAGTGACCTCTTGCTTTCCCTAAGTAAACTGCTGATCTCTTTGCAGTAGATCATTTTTCTGTGTCGGGTTACGAGTGGAAAACAGCAATGGCAATGTGAGGTTGTTGCCATCAGTATTAGTGACAACTGAAATTGTTTGTTAGTGGTGATTAGAGGTAGCTCCCTGCTGTTACTCCTTGACAGTCTGTGCAGGGGGCTATCATTTGGGGGATAAGCTGAAAGAAATCAAAATTATAAAGCGAGGGAGACAGATTAAAGAAGTAAAGGATAATGAATAAAGATGGCATGGGCAGGGGAGCAAATTAGAGTAAGACTGATCAGAAAGGAAGACAGATTTACAAAGCAAGAAAAATAGCAGTTATTTTTATTATGAAAAGGCAATTGAATGAGTCTCCATGAAAGTCGGGTGGAGATGTCCTTTGACACCTGGATTGCTTTAGTTAGGGAAGTGAAGGAAGGGGGATAAAGGTGCAGAGGTTGGAGCTTCCCTTGTGCCAGAAATATGGTTTGTCATTAAGTAGTACGTGACCCCCTACAAAGCACATGTTGCAGCAGACAGATGCTCAATTCAGGATGTACATCCTACTATTACAAGAAAATTTATTTTTACATGTATTTCTTCATTGTTTACAACAGATTTACAGCGAAGGTGCCATAAAGCAAACCACTCAAACTTAAAAGTTGCAACAACTTTAAATGTAAACTTCCTTTAAGCTTGCACCTAATTTATTGTGACAAAATTAAAACTGCTGTGACAGTAGATTAAAGAGAGAGATTGTTCATTCGGTAGCTGTATAAATAAGATAAACGTTTATTGTGTTTTTAAAAAAGAACTTCTATTTAATGTAATGACAGTGACTGGTGATCAGAAGCCTTCCCTTTGAAATCTGTTTATGAATATGAAGAAGTAACTGTAAAAATAAACCAGTCCTAGTGATTAAATATTTAAATGAGTTCTCTATATTCAACAGCTGATTCTTGCAGGGTATAGTTTTTCCTTTAAAACAGAAGCCCACATCTTCAGTCGGAACTTTTCTTAAAAGTTGTATATTTGGCGAAGGCCAGCAGGAGAGTGGGTGAACACAATGCAGTGTATTGGTGTGTCACACCTGGGTTTGTTCTCTAAATTCTTCACCTGGTGATTGTTTTTTAAAAAAAAAGTTCAGCAAGCCCTTTGAAAGGGGTAGGAAGAGACAAAATGACTAATGCCTGGTTAATAATGCACTTATCACAACTTGAAAAACATGGGGTTAGATTGGGCTTGAGCCACACAATCTTAAACATGCATTACACTGGAGCCGGAGTACCGAAAGAACAGCACATTGATTTGTGGCAGATGCCTATCAATTCGGGCATTGTTCAGAATTTTTTTCTTGAAGCACTTGTTCAGCCAATCGAATTTCAGGAATATAGTATTATTGTTGGGACTGCTCACCTAACAACTTGTGTCATAAAATAATGCAGTGGAATCTAATGGGGGAGGCAAGAGAAAACTGACATGGAAGTATTTTTAAAAAAGGATCACTATCAAGTATGTGTATTGTTTAGAATCATCGGGTGAATGAGTTCATGCTTTGCACTCTGGAGCAAACCAGATTTCAAAATAGCTAAAAATGATATTGGATTTCATGAAAATAATATTTCTCCAAACAAAAAACAAAAGTTGCAACAAAAAACCTCTGTTCTAATTAAACTGCTGTACATTACAAAGGCTCACTTGGACAGCTGAAGTGAGCACATTTTTCATGGTCTCATGAACATCTTAAAACATATGTGTATTTAGCTTTCAAATGCACCATAAGTTTGCTTTTAAAGAGCATTCAAATCTTGGAGTTAAAATATTAAACCTTCAAACATACTGTAACATTGTGAATATTTAACAGTGCCCTGGTTATACTAAGACTGGCAGCACACTTGTGAATGTGAAATTAATGCTGCTTGCTTTGCATTTCTCAAAATGAGTTGAGCAATGGGATTGAAGGAAAGTGCAGGTTGATACAGTTTTGGTTTACTGTTACTGTGCTAGACCAATGCGCTGGTGTACTGTATGCACCCATATGCACCCATCTGGACCTAAATGGAACATTTCCAGGTATGGAACATTTCAGTGGGATATTCCACAGCCAGCACACTGCGACCAGCCTTTCCTAACTGCTGTTGTGTCATCTTTTCCATTCTAAATTATGTTCACTTCAGCACCCTGCGTGTAACCTTTGCAGCGCACAACGGTTCAATTAGAAGAGATTTTTTTCTTGTAAGTTTTGGTTTAAAGAAATATTAGTTTATTCTAGTATCTAATTTTCAATATTTTACAATTTACTTTGCTTAAGACTAATTCCTGCATTGATTTTAATGGGTAGGGGTGGGGGGTGGGGTGGTAGTTGGGGAGAGGAAGGAGCGGGTTGAAGCCCTGCCAGATTTTAGAACAGCAATAAATTATATTTGTATAACGCCTTTCATGTTGGGAGGACGTCCCAACGTGAAAGGCGCTATAAAATCAACGCAGCTAGTAGTCTTAAACAACGTAAATTAAAGAAAATTAGGAGAGTTTCCTGGGCTTAAACGTTTGCACCTTCAAGCTGTATTGGTACACATTTTAGCAATTGTTATTGAAGATCCTTTTTTTAAAATCAGGAAAAGCAGAGTTGCTGCACAGCAGTTTGATCTTGTTTACTATGCTGAGCAACCCAAAAATAGGATAACTTGGGAATAACTTGAGCAATTCTAATTAACATACCCCCCCCCACCCAAAAAAAAGTATTTTTACAATTCGCATGAGAAAGACTGAAGAGGAGATCTTCCTCAGCAAAAATATATTAATATATTCTTACTTAAATGGCGATGGGGAAATGGTCTGTGTTAAAAGTACTACCCTACACTTAGCTTTTCCTTCAAATGCTAATAACACAAGAAGGTGCCTCACCAATCCAGGTAGCTTTTTGCATCACCTTTACCAGCTTGTGCTGGGATCATCCTTAGAGGTTAGCAATTTACCATGATTTTCAATAAAAAATACTTATCTGTGGAAGGGGGGAAAGAAGTGAAAGTGTTACTGTTTCATGGATTTTTTTTAAAAAAAGCAGCTTAAATTGATACGTTTTTCAATGTGCTTTTTGTGAGCATGATTTGTACTTTTATCAACGAGGTGATCGTTTCAGTTTACTGTGAGAAAATGCTGAAATTTAAGCCTCTAAATGGTGTTTTCTGCAACACTTGCTTCAGCTGCTGAAAATGTGCTTCAGCTCAATCTCAGAGCTTGTACACATCTATGGGCCTCTCGTGAACACCCCTCCACCCTCCTTCCCTGTCCATACCTGCACAGTGTTAATTAAAAAGCAGTGTCTGCTTCAGTTTTCTTCACCAGTTTAGTTGTTTGTAAAATAAGCCAGCAGTGTTCTGCCCTTATTTCTATCCCCATTGTGCCACATTACAGAATTTTTTTCCCCGTTCTTTATGCAAGCTATCATAATTAAACGAAGCCTCTCCCTTGCCCTGGTGTCCAGTTTCTAGAGAATATTTACCCATACGCGCTCATCTTCAGACTTGGCAGGCTGTGCCAGTCAAATTCACTCCGTCTCCTGTGGCCAGTGCATGGAGCAGATGAAGTGGTTTAGTCAAGGCAGCTTTTCAATTATATTTCAGTTTGTTCCCTGAAGCAACAACCCTTATTAATAAGTTAGGATGTGGGTTGATACAAGCAGATTCACTACATTTTCCCCGAGAAAACATTTGTGTTAATAAGCCGAGCTGTGGGTTATCATGGGAATATGTCTGGCTGCATTTTTTCACTTTGTTCAGAATCATTTTGCTTCGCGTCACTGCGACGTATCCATCAAAACTATGTGCAGTGAAAATGACTATTCAATGCAGACTTACGCTGAATATAAATATGAATTTATGCTGCACTGTTTCACAAAATTGCCAGGGTTTTATTTAAAGCTCTTGCTTATTCCGTGCTACAGTGTTTTGGTGTTGCTACTTCTAGTTTTTAACCCCCATTTTTCAAACCTTATAAGGACTTCCCTGTGACAAGTTTTGTTTTCTCATTTGAAATTGATCTGACAATTATTTCAATATTTGCTTCATAAATACAATACATATACACACGGAAGTATTCTGCTTGTCTACTAGTGAGTTGACCAGAGCTGTACTCTATGGAACCTCACCACAGATGCTGTCAGGCTACTCAATCCTGGAAGGCTGGGAAGGTGTACAGTTGAGGCTGATTCTGTCCACCTTATGTCCACAGTTAGAGCTAATGTTGAACTGCATGTTCTTCCATAAAAATCTTGGATACAAAAAGCCATTATCCCATTTATATTACTGTCTGTTTGTTTCTCCATTGAACCCATCAATCTTAATCTCATTTCCCTGCTCATTCCCTGTATCCTCTGATGTTCTTGCTCTCTGTTTTTAAATGTACAGGAGAACCAAACTACCTCAAATCAAGTGCCTGAGTAATGAGTTGAATTTCATCATACCAAATGAGGGGTATTTTCTCTAAAGCGTATCAGTTGTTTTTCTTTATTCGATCTTTAGGAAATTCTACCTCCTTTACACATGTATACATTTTGAATTCAAATGCATGTTTGACACTGCTGTATTGGTAAATTGGGTACTTTAGTTTAAAACTTTTGAGTGCTTGCTTGGACTACATTTTGAATGATTTTTTCAAGCTTTGATCCATGAGGAGTCTTGCAAAAGTTACAGTTTTATAATTGTGACTTTTCAAAGGATTCAGGGGAATGGGTATCTGTGTGGCATGCAAAACTACTGCATGCAGCACTTTACAGTAATATATCATAAGATCTGTGATGCTAGGTCTAAGTTGGCTGAGTCAAAACCCAGGTCACGTCAATGGAGTAAGCATTGAGACTTGCCAAGAAATGTCTGTTGATTTGCATTTATTAAAATAGATTTTACTTGATATGCTGGGCACGACGTCACAGATTGATCAGCCAGTTTGATGAGTGCTGCAATGCCTTAAACTTTGCTATACAACAGCCCTTTGTTTTTAAGGTGTATTCAATTGACTATTTTGGTGAAATTGTGGCATACAATATTAATGAAGTCCCATCCCTAGCTTCCAAGGGTGTACATGAGTAAGCACGTTAGGTAAGTAGGTTTACTCACCTGCACTACGCCCTCAGACCAGTCCTTGCCAGGCTCCACTGGCTCCCCATCGCAGAACGGATCGACTTCAAGATCCACACACTCGTCTCCCTTTATGCTCTGGCACATCCCTACCTCTCTGACCTGCTTACTCCATGCTCCACTTTCGCCACCTCTGCCTGACTGGCTCCGGGATCCTGCTTGTTCTTCATCCCATTTGCTCCACCATCGTCAGCCTTGCTTTCAGCCACTACGCTCCGAAACTTTGGAACTTTTGAGCCTCATTCCCTCCACCTTTTAACCCTTCTTCCCCATTTTCAGATCACATCTAAAGACCTTCGACCGGGCCGACTATCACCTACTCTTCCTCCGCTCCCCTCCACCCCCCCCCGGCTCAGTGTCACTCTCCACCACTTTTAAGCGCTTGGAGACGCAATCCCCTCATGAAGAGCACTATATAAATGCAATTTGTTGCTGTTGTAAGTGTGGGTTTTTAATGCTCATTTCTCTTCTTTCCCACACCCCCACCCCCAATCCATATGCAAGTTTGTAATTATTCTTTATTTGGTTAAAATGCTTTTTAGACAGGGAGGCAAAAAAGGCATTCTTGTTAAAGACGATTATGGGTGATCCTTGCACTCATTTAATGTTGCATATTTCACTGTTATATTGGATATTTCAGGATTACATTCAGGGAGAAAGGGCTTGATTGCATAAAACAACATGATTTCATTAGCTTGCTAAATGGGAATGGGTGGACAATAATATGTTTAAATGGAGTATCAGGAAAGGGGTGCTAATCCTGTTTTGCTGTGTAATTGGATGGGTTGTACATCATTTATAACGGTGCTTTAAAAAAGGCTGCTAGAATATATGGTGAGGCGATTTTGTGTACAGCCATTACGATCAATTAAGGAAGAGATAACCTGCTTTATTATGTAATAAAGGCAGTGCTGTGCATGTGAAACTGCACAACAACAACGACAAAATTATAGTTGTATAGCGCCTTTCACATCGGGATGACGTCCCAAGGCATTGGACAGTCAGTGATAATTGCTTCCTCTTTAGTTTCTCCCTCTCTCCCCCCCCCTTTGTTGCTGTGAACACAGTGTGAAGAAGATATCTTATATCATTCTATATGAACATGAAGGGAGAATAGGCTTGTTATTTCTATTATGACATTTAAGTTCTGTAATGGATGAAACCACTGGAACAGCATTGCCTACTATAATTGAATAGAATATTTTTGCTTATTCGCCCACAAAACATAATCAATTCACTTTACAATGTGTTCTGTGAAGCTCTTTGAGACATCTAAAAGATGTGATAAGGTGCTATATCAAATGCAAGGATTATTATTATTGAGATATCTATCTATATATATATGTATATAAAACGTAATTGTTTTGTTAATTCCCAGCATTTTCTTTGCTCTCTTAAACTGAAATTGTCAACTTGTATTCTGCTGTTGTTCAAAGGGTACAAGCCCTTTGGTTCCATGCCCAATTACAGTCGATGTTCAGTCATGGGGAGCATCACAGACAATCCCAAATCTGTTCAGCTGACATGCACACTCACACACTCGCACACTTTCTCACACTGGTTAGCTATCAACTCTGATTTTCCCGTCCCATTCTTCCCCTTCTGTCTGACCCTTCAATCTCCCTAGCTCTGGGTCACTGAGGTGAATTGGTGTGTCCTGGCCTAGATCAGCTAACAATACAGATTAGGAATCAATCCTGTGGGGTACCTAATCCATATGCCTCAATGCCACACTGAACCGTGGACAAACTATTTGCATGTCGGGCGAGCCCCTTTGACTCTTTTGCTTTATGCTTTCCTTATGCCATGCTTGATTCCCTGTCTGAGAAAAGATGAGCAAACAGGTAAACTGCTCCCAATTCTCCGCCTGTAGCAAGCTGCTTATGCGTGAGCTGCATTATCCCAGAATTGCTTGTCTTTACAATATTACTTCAATTTTTGTTCAGGAAGCATCAGGCCTGCTTGGAACTTTGCCCAAAGGCATGACTGAAGTTGGGAATTCAGCGTGTGAGTAATCATGGCTATGAAACCCCGTCCCATGGATTGGCATTCTGTTGCGCTTTTGTATTGACCAATCCTCCTCTGCCCACCCAGTGATAATTGCTTCCTCTTTAGTTTCCCCCTCTTTCCCTCCCCTTTGTTGCTGTGAACTATTCACCAATTGATGGCCCAGTTAGGTTTCAACCCCACCCCCCCCCCCCACCCGCATCTGTGCACCTTAAGTCTCTGGCAGCAGCATGTTGGACACTGACATATCATCCTTTCATACTTCTTTCATATAAAGTCTGCACAAGTGATTTCCTCTCTCAGCTGAAAGACAAAATGGTTCCACAGATGCCCATCGATAACATTGACTCCTTCAGACCATAGTCATGTGAGCTAAAAAGGCTGTGAGCCACTTATCTCTCAGCAAGAGAAACAATCAATCATATAAAGATACTCAACTGCAGAAAAAATCATCTTTTGCTATATAATGTACATTTCTTCCTCATTCTTTGAAGATGCTAGACACTTAATTGCAGTGCTTTTGTAAAAAAAGAGCTTTTTAATTGCATTTTACCAGCTGTTTATGTCATGCAAATGCCACCCGTGTAAGGTAGAAGATAATATTAACTCTGCACTTTTGTTTCTTCTAAGGATTTTAACTTAAACAAATGCAATTATTATTAGATTTCTCTCCTAAACTGGTCTTTGTTTCATCAGGCAAGTGGTGGTCGAGGGTTCACTTCCACATCCGTTTGCTTTAACATTGTTTGGGGACACCTTATACTGGACAGACTGGAACACTCATTCTATCCACGCTTGCAATAAATACACTGGACAAGAACGCCGGGAGGTACACAGCAACATTTTTTCTCCTATGGACATTCATGTCTTTAACCAGCAGAGGCAACCAAATGGTAAGTGCTTGTGAACATCTTTTTTTCCCAAAAACAAAGGTTGCAGATTATGCATAGTTGCATTTTACTAAAGTGTTAGTGGCCTAGGATGGGTCATCGAACATCTTGTGTAGCCAAGAGGGCAGATGTCTTGTTCCCAGAACACCACCAATATTACTTCCAGTATACTATTGACTAGAGATATCAATGTAAGATAGTTATCGAACAGAGAAATGGGGAGTTTAGGAGAATGTTTTTCACACACAGTGATTTGGATCTGGTATGCCCTGCTGAGGCGGTGGTTGAGGCAGAATCCATACTAGCTTTCAAAAGGGAACTACATAAATACTCAACAAGGATTCATCTGCAGGGGCATGGGGAAAGAGGAGGTAAATCGGACAGAAAAGATTGTTTTTAAAAGACCTTCTGTGCTGTAAATTTCTATGGTTCTATATGAGTCAAGCTCTTGATTGAAACTCCCAACAATTTGCACTATTGTGCCACCCATTCGGAAATTATTCTTTAATCTTCAAAATGCACATATGATTATCCATCTTATCTCCACATGATTTTAGAAAACTCCATCGATTTATGAAAGCATCTTCCATTTCTGAACTAAATGTGCAAAATAGAATTTCTGAGTTCTATTTATGTATTTTATTTTTTCCAAGTAGCAAAATCTGATCTTGTCAATGTGTTAAGAGTTCAACCCAATTTGTATATTAAGGGGAAAAGACTAATGGAGGGGGAAATACTATTGTAGATGGCAGGTACATCCATGCCTTAAATTGATTGAAGTACTTTGTAGGAAATCAGAAGTTGCTGGCGATGAGATCCTTTGATACAATATTTAGAATTGTAGAATCTTAGTGTGACAAGGGCAAAATAATTATGAATCTCAAAAGCACTGTTATTCAAATAAAGAATATTCACCTGATCTTGCAAAAGGATGGAGATAGCTGAACAGCTGGAGATAAATTGTCATGTGTTCTTTATTCTGGTCCACAGGCTGTTGCTTGGATCAAGAAAATGACCTTTCAGTCAGAACTGGAAATGATTATTTAAAGCAATTACTGCTGCTCTTTTTTTAATACAATTTTACATGCGTGTGTGCGGTTCCATTCAATTCTTGAATAAATTAAATCTTCACATCAGTTCTTAAATAGGACACTGGAGAAGATCATAGTTTTTTTGCATAGTATGTATTTTGGTACATGAAAGAGTTTATTTAAAGTGTTTCCATATGGTTATGTGTAACAGCTGTAAAAGCTATGCGTAGCTGGGCCTGAAGCCTAGTTGTGTATTTTTATATTACCAAATATCAAATTGAAATTCTGTGATTGTTATTTTAATGCAGAACGTAATTGATTCCTCAGGTTGCTATTTCAGCTGTAATGGTGGTTACTTTACCATTACTACTTGATACTACATTGTACTTAAAGTGCTTTGCATTGTTCTACCATTTTTTTTGCAGTGGCTGCTTTTAAATTGATACAGTTTTTACAGGTTTTGTGTTTTACAATGTTAAGATAAGGTCAATCTTTTACCCCTCTTTTCTACCAAAAAGTGGATTTTGCTAAGTAACAACGTCTTACCATTGAAAGCTTCTATTTCTGCAACAAACACTTACAGAGAAAACCCATTGATGCCTTTTTGGAGCTGCATCTTGTATGAGTTCAAACTTAGGGCCACCTACAGAGTGTAGATTGCACATTTTCATCCTTTTGGGGAAAGGCTGTCTAGGTTTAATACATGGAGGGAATCTTCTTCCTTGGGCTGTTTCGGTTTATTTCCTGGCAGTATGTTCAGAAAGGCACCTACTGATTGTAGATAGGGTGATAAGAAGGGAGAAAATGCAAACGGAATTGTAAATACGCCTTTTTGATTTTAAAAACATTTCTAGTTTTGTTTAATACAAATATACAATACTTGGAGTTGGGGAACAGTTCTGCTGGGTAGTATGTGTTAGTCATTAAATAATCACTTTCAGTAAGCTAGGAAACACAAAGCGATTCTTTCAGTTTATAAAACAGTTTATAAAACTGTGAACAGATAGATCTCCCATCTATAATGTGATAGTTTTTAAGATCATTCAGATTCAGTTTTATGAATAACGTTTATACAATATTGACTGAACAAATGTTTTGTTAAAATGTGACATTCAGATTTACTCATTGGATATTGTCCAATGCCACAGGCACACTGCACTTTGCTTACATCTGCGCTCTATACTATAATATAATGATGGAGCACGGGGTAAGATTATTTACCCAATCATCTTTTTGGATTATGCATGCCTGAACTCCGTGGAGATGTAGACTGGTGATTGGTTTCTTCCCCATCTATTCTCTTACCCTTGAGGTTGAAAGAAACTGAGATCAAGTCAGCCCAGGACTCCCTTTCATTAGAGCAAATAGAGGCTTGGAAATGGGCTGCCCACCTGTTCAGCCATTTCATGGAAAATGCCTTTAGGGAGAATGGGAATAACTTTGAAGGCGTCTGAGGAAGAACTCCATGTAATTACGGTGCTGGTGCTTGGTATCTAATATCCCATTCACAAAATGTATTATCATGCATATTGTTTATTAGTTTTTCAGCCTTCGTTTAATTCTCATTTGAAGCTCTTTTTCATCTCTTCTGCATTGCATTTAAATAAGAGCAATTCCATGAATCGGAGTAGATTGATTGGCTGAGACTGCTAAAGATTTTGGAGACTAATTTTTTCACTGTACAACGGTTTGATATATGTAGAGTATTGTATTATGGTACACAACCTCTAGGTGGACCAGTTGTTTCTTTGCGGCAGAGTGTGAAAAACCTGTTGCAGCCAAAAGAAAGATGAGTTTTTTTTAGTGCTCTGTGTACATTCACCAATTGTGCTTGATTTAAACAGCAACAAACCCATGTGGAACCAGTAATGGTGGCTGCTCCCATTTGTGCCTGATGTCTCCAATCAAACCGTTTTATCGATGTGCCTGCCCAACTGGTGTCCAACTGCTAAAAGATGGGACGACGTGCAAAGATGGTATGTTAGCACTTAAGTTTAAGAGAATCCAGCAATATTAAAAGCTGCTGGGGGTGGGGGGTAGTCTGCTCGCTTTTAAGAATTCAATTTTTCTGATGATTTTCATACAAATATCTTTCCATAAACAAACATTTAAAGAAAAGATTGAGCTGGAAACCGAATCTTGTTTTCATCTATTATGTAATTCAAGCTTTTAATATCTGATTTGTGCTTATTTGTCTTGCTGTGGGCAGTAAGGTTTGAGTGCGGCATAAATGGTACTCGTGTGCCTAGCGTATGTAATACATTTGTAATTTTGACATGGACAAGGTACCAATACCAGCATTCTAAAAGTCAATTTACTTTAATGTGGTACTAATTATATTTCTTCTTGTGCTTCTGATTTATTCTTGTCATCACCGGCAATATACCTGTGACGTTAAGTGCTTGCCTTATATTCTCCTGGACCCCCACACATTTTGGATGGGCAGAACTATTATCTTTCACCAAATTCAAGTGATAATAAGTAAATTTCACAGGCCCACTAATATGGTTTTACTGGACTCCTCATGCTGACACTGACTTCCTATAAAATATAAATACAACAAAGTAGGTAATTTATAAATGCTCAAACTACAAGTGAATTGCAGTCAATCCTGTGCCTTAAACTCAAGATTTCTTTTTCACAAGGAGGCATTGAGTGCAGTGCACCTTGCTATATTTTGGGAGCTCTAACCTTATTGCATGACGTCTCCTGTGGTTTTCGTTTGGTGTTGGGCAGATTTGTTTTTTAAAAAATTGGATGGTATCATTAAACCACTCTTGACAAATCAACTGTGAAAATATGAAGAAATATTCCCATTGAGTTTCAGATGACACCAGAATAATAAATGTGGTTGCTGGAAGAGTACCCACCTAAACTTTTAATTTCCACCTTGACTTTGCTTTTAATACCACATTATCCTCCATGTGCAGTGCCGTCTTAAAAAGAAAATAATAGTTGTGCTTTTGTTGGAGGAGTGAAGAGAAAGATGAGGAGGAATGTGTTTTTGATCTAAAACATTTCCCAGAGGAGGATGGTTTGTTTTTTTGGAAAGGAAAAAAAAGTTTTTTTTTAGATGTTCTCCCAGTGGAGAGATTCCCAATTTAAAAAAAAACTGGTAAAGAACTCCGGGCTGGAAAGATTCTGCTTGTGACCTAACCAGCACATTGCTCTTTGGCTTGCTATTGAGTTTTGTTGAGCTGAGAGTATCATCCATCCTAGGTTTTGGATGCTGATCTTGGAGCTGAAACCAGACATTTTCAGCAAGTCTCAGTCAGTATTAAATTCCTTAATTACAATGAAGTAAGAGGGTAGGCATTCCACGATTTGGGAATGATATGGTATCACATTCATTTTATGACATTTGACAGGGTAGTTCACAAATCAGTGAGATCTGATTATGGTAGACTTCCAGCAGGCCAGAAAATGGAAATATTTCCTTTCTGGAACACACTGTGAGCTTTTTTTAAAAAAAAAGTTTGTCAAGAAACACTTCAGATTGAAAATACCTTCTCTCTCTATTGACTTACATTCGCCTTTATCTTGGTATTCTGATGCTCAGTCATTTGTGGCTTATGTATGTGTATATCGTTGACTTGAGATAGTGAAAATGGTGATCTTTGTGTGAAGAACTCTTTTTTTTGGCGTTGATTGATGATCCTTGCAGTGGAAGGTGAGGTGAGTTGACCCTGAGCAAATAGCAGGAGCTATGGAAGCTTGTAGTTTTGAATGGTCAGGATTTATAGGCAGGCTGTTCTCGTACATATCCTAACTATCGCAAGAAATAGGTGTCTTTTGTTCTCTGATCACGTGGCATGTGTTAAGAACAATTCTTCATTCATCAGTAACTTTACTGTCCTCCACCCCTTCAGTTCTTGCATTAAATAAGAGAGAGAGTGCATGTTTGGTCATGCATGGTGCAGACTTTAGCTGTGTGGTTGAGATGTCACTAATGGAGACTGACACGAGCCATTGATATGGGCAGATCACGCTATTTACATTCCAACTGTGACTGACTCCAAACACACGGGGAAACTTGATAAATGGAGAGCTTCCAACAATGAAACCTGTTTTCTTGATGTAAAAAAGATACGTTTGTTATTTTCACCCTCCAATTAATAATTATATAATACAATCCTTGGCCAGAAAAAGATAGCAGTCTTTGCACAATGATTTCCTTGTATGTCGTCAGGATGGGGATACATGAGGAGAGCCCCTGCTTTTTGAAATTGGTGTGATAGTCTTAATTTGGATATAATTTTCCTTTCCCAGGACGTGCTGCAATTTGAAAGTCTCTCTCAAAATAATGGAATATTAAGAGAAAAATAGTGGCCCTTGTGAAATTACAATTTAAATGCATGGCTTGCACCTTGTAGAGGGTGCATTTCGGCCTTATTTGACCTGAACACAAACTAACCATGGAGTGCTTGACATTGTCTGCAAAAAGTGCACCATATGTACCATTTCCCCAGCAATGTCTTCACTTAGCTTGACAAGCACAGACAATTCAGCAGCAACTAACCAGATGGTAAAAATGCTCTTTTTTGCCTTGTTGATTTAAATGTTCGTTCTTAAAATTGTCCTGTTACTTGCGTCCCTTTATAGACCTGTGAGGCTCCTTCACTAAACACTGCAGCTGCAGTATTCCTCCATAAAACCCATATCCAATCTGCACAGCTTGCAATAATGACACCACTATTTGGCGGCTTCTCAGGAACAAGGATTATGGTGGCATTGATGCCAAATTGAGCCTTTAATGACAAATCTGTTAATCAGCGTGACAATTTAAAAACTCAAATCGCAAGATAGTGTTGTCAGGAATATATTCCATGTCAAACCCGGGCAAAGGGGAGTATTTAACAAGAGAAAACCCCACATTTGTAACAGGGTAAAACAATCACTCCACAAAATGTTCCGTGACCCGTGACATTGGTACGTACACACATTTGTTCCCACTTGTGTTTTTTCACACCAGTAACTTTTATTTTGTGTTCCGCTATTTTTCCAGGGACCTGCTATAAAAAACGCAGCCACACTTAAGATACAGAATTGAGCTGCAGTAACTCAGCTTGGTACAAAATTGAACCAATTGCATTTTCTCTTGCTGCTTCTAATGCCATCAGGCCATAGTAATTAGGTGGTTGTAAGTTATTTTGTGTCACATTGATGGTCCATGGAGTTATGACTTCTATGCATTTAACAGGCTTTTAGCTCATCACTTGCCAGCAACAAAGCTGCCTTTGTCGTCAATCACGGCAGTAAAACTGCTGCAAGGCTGCAAGTAAAATATCTGAAGCTGAATGGTACACTATTGGTCACGCACAGCTGTACAAACCAAATTGCTTCAGCAGCAGTAGTTTATCTCTTTATACCTAAAAGATTTTATTAGCAAGTGAAATCTACTCCTTGAAAAGAGATAATTATATTATAGCACATTTTTAAGTTTACTACTACCCAATTCTCTCTCTTGTCTTTCTATTTGATAAGTCCAGTGTTTTCCTTGCCCTGACTAAATGGCATGAAATCTCTGTTCAGGTTTTTCTGGTATTAAAGGTTTGTTTAGAAGACAAGTCAATAGGCTGTAAACAGAATAGTTGTAAGCTTCTTTCCTATTGTATGCTGTTTTTTAAAAAAAAATCAAACTAATTTTTTCCCAAGGTGCCTCTGAGTTACTGTTGTTGGCCCGACGGACCGATTTAAGACGGATATCCTTGGATACGCCCGATTTCACAGATGTCGTCTTGCAGCTGGATGATATCCGCCATGCAATCGCAATTGATTATGATCCAGTGGAAGGATATATATACTGGACCGACGACGAGGTGCGTGCCATCAGGCGGTCGTACTTGGACGGGTCGGCAAGCCAATTCGTTGTGACATCTCAGATCAACCATCCCGATGGCATTGCGGTGGATTGGGTGGCAAGGAACCTTTACTGGACGGACACTGGCACTGATCGCATCGAAGTAACTAGGCTGAACGGCACCATGCGTAAAATTCTAATTTCTGAGGATCTTGATGAACCACGGGCAATTGTGCTTGATCCAATGTCTGGGTAAGAAGAACTTTTATTTTGAGGCTTCATTCGTAGAATGTTTGTTTGGTGGGTGGGAGGTGGTGCGGAGGATCATACTGTCAAAATTGCAGTGATTCCATACATATTTATAATACTTATAATATTTTCTTGAAAAAAAACACTTTTCTTGCTATGCAGGAAAAATAATATATTAATTGAAAATGCTTCTCCACCTCAAGGAACTTCATGCTAAGAAAACGTTGTGTCTGTGAAAATCCTGGTTGAGGCAACTCAAGTCATTTCGCAAAAGACATTTTACAGCCTGCAAAGAGGGGGGGAATGGGGAGGGGGAACCTTCATCCTTTTGAGGCTTCAAACCACGGTCCCTTTGACACGTCATTCTTGCATTGGCAGTTTTCTGGCATTGCTATGTTTGAAGTCTGCACAGATATTTTGGAGAGTTTCTTATAACCTTTCTTCTTTTGTCTTCTTTAAAATCCGGGATGATCTACTACGACAACAAATGGCTTATTTTTATTTATTGTTGTTTAATTATTGTATAAGCAGCTCATGTTAAATCTGTCTTTGTTTTGCAAACAGGTACATGTATTGGACAGATTGGGGCGAGATTCCAAAGATAGAACGCGCTAGTTTAGACGGAACAGACCGGGTTGTCCTTGTTAACACTTCACTGGGTTGGCCAAATGGTTTAGCCTTGGACTACGAGGAGAGAAAAATGTACTGGGGAGATGCCAAAACTGATAAAATAGAGGTTTGTATATTCACGATAATTAAATGTTGACCTCTAATAATTCTCGTGCTTGGATATAATATTGACATGTGGTTTTGATGGAATAATTCTATTTGGAATAGTTCACTAATTCTTGGACAATATTGGGTACTAGGTGGCAGTTTAAATTTCTTTATGTGAACTATCCATTCCAATTTTCACTGCCAAACTGCTGGGTTATTTTTACAATACGTAGACCTCTTGTTCAATTTTCCTCTTGTAAATTGGCTGGAGAGTAAACAATATGGTGCTGTTTAAAAGCTGCTTTCATTTGGGGCAAAGCGTAAAAGTAAAGATCATGCCTTACATGTCTAGTCTTTACTCACTACCCTTCAATGTCCCAGTTAGTTGCAAACTGTGTATCTTCTAGCCAGCAGTCAAAGAAACATTGTAAAGTTGGCATAGCGAATAGTGTACTGTTGCAATGAGTTACCGGGAAAGCTGGTTACTGGACTGGGAATGGAAATCCCAGCTGAGTACTGATATCAATTTGAAGCCCTCACTGCTAATTCAGCACAGACACTGGATCAAGCCTGGAGCAGTTCTGATCTGTATGGCTTATCTGCATTCTGGATAAACTTAATCATTGGGCAAACCCTTGCATTACCTTTTGAGCATGGTCTTTTTATGCACACATTCGCTTCCATTGGTTTACAGATGCTTTCGAGTGAAAAATGTTCAAAGCTTTGAAGTCTCTCTCTTGTCTTTCTCTTTTCCTTCTATTCAAAAGCCTAGTCACAACCCTAATATTTTCCTGTACCAGAAGTGGACCTTCAGGACCTGCTTGCAGATGATTCAAACACCTTGTACCATTTTTGTTCCTCCTGTTACAATTTTTGTCTTGATTTTGGCCACGGTATTGCTCTAATAGTGAAGACGGAAGTTCTTTTCATGCTCCACAAATGTTAGCAGCAATTACTGATCTTTGAACCTTTGTTCTCCTCCTGCTCGCTTTTCGTCTTCTTGCTAACACCTCCAGCACATCTTGAAAAAAAAGTTGAAGTAGGTGTTGCATTTTGTTCCTTCCCATTTGTGCAGTCACTTTGTGTTGCATATCATTTCCTGTAACAGAGACAAAGTGACAGGCCTTTGTCAATGACACTCTGTGTCCAGCTGCTAAGATTCTTGCACGAGCAGTCCCCTTTGTTTCTCCCCTGCTCCCAAAATTCTCTTCCTCTGACACAACATCTGCTTTCTATTTTGTTCTGTAGAACATGCTGTATCCCCACCCCCACCAAATCCTTGTCAGGATCCACTGCCTCCTTCTAACTCGAATGCCTTCATGCCCTTGCCCCCACCCCGCTTCTGTGATGTCCTGCAATCCTACAACTCTGTCCGCTCCCTCCTAACTTGGGCGGGCTGCACGTCCCTTTCTCTCTCTACACTACTGTTCACAGGCAAGGTTTTCAGCCACTTAGCCACTGTGTACGGGAACTCTGCTTAAATCCCTCTGCCTTGCACCTTCCTTTTTTGCTTTCCAATTCTGTTTAAAAGAAAAACTACCTCTTAGACGGTGCCTTTAATCAGCCTCTTCCTACCCTGCTCGGGACCTGCAAAATTCTTTTAAGACATTTTAAAGCATGAAAGGTGCTTTTGAAGTGCATGTTTGTGTTGAAAATCATTGGGATAAATTGCATTTTACCACTCCTCAAATGAGCTGTTGGAGAGCTTGTCCCTTTGAGTGAGATATTAAACTGAGGTATCGTCTGTTGGTTTTTCAGGTTAGAGTTCACAATTCCATTGTTGTTGGCCAGAGATCTCTCAGATTAATTGGTCAATCACCTCGTGCCTATTTTTGGGACCTTACAAATTGCTGTTGTGTTTCCCTCCAAAAAACAAGTAACTACACTTGACAGTAACTAGTGTGAAGGCCTTTTAGGCATGTTAACGTAATCAGGTGTTCTAAAAATGCACATATGTCTTTTTGCTGAACTGCTACTCTGTTTTCAAACGGCAGGTTTTCATTTTTTTAAAAGTATTTGTGTAGACCATTTAGAATGCCAAATGGCATAAGGTTAGATTGCGTGCTTTGAATTCCCTGCACAGGTTTCATTAATAACAGGACTTGTCTTGGCAGATGGAGAGAAATTGGGTCCAAAATCATTTTAGACTCGAGGGAAAGTCACTGGCTACATATGTAATCTAGTTATTTTCCAAACTGGTTGTTAAGAAATTGTGTGTTTTTGTTGGTGCAGATTCTCCCAGCGCTGACCTTTTAATTGCTTGGTAACCGAGTCTGTGGATGCCGTGCAGACTCGGGCAGTGTATATCAGCAGTGGCACATTCATTAAGAAGCATGCCGCTGGAGAAGGCTGCTGCAGTTCTGGGGCCCCGAGGAGATAATAAGCAACAGCAGGGGTTAATAGAGAGCAGCGGGAGGTGCAGCAGGATGCTTTTGTTCCCAGTTTATCTGGCAGTGTACAGTGGGCAAAGCAGTCTGCAACTTGGCAGTCTGGTTTGTCATTATACACAGTTGGTTGCTGCTGATAAAACTGGGATGCGATTGGGCTGCTGACATCTTTCGTCTAGCATGAAAGCTCCAGCTTTCTATACGTAAATACATTTCAGTGCAATTGCCACGAGCAATGTTTTAAAATATTTGAACTTGGAATAAGTGTCATTTCTCCCATTTTTCTTTTACACAAAAAAATGACTGGATGGTGCACATTGCGAAGTAGAACCACCATAATGCTGGTAATCTTTCTTTATAAACGTGTAGAAAATCAAAACCTTGAATTGTGTCAAGCTAATTTCCATAAACAGCAATGGGCTGATTTGAAAGTAAATTGGTATTTGCCAGAAAAAAAACATGATTCCCTTGGCTGTAATTATTGAGAATTTGCAAGTGAATAGCGTTCTGGACTCCAGCTAGCCACCTTAGCCTTTTACATTTTGAAATATTCTATGCTTCTGTGGAGTGTTTTCTCTTGCTGACAGTGCAGCAAGACTGATTTTCTTTTGCTTTATACAGTCTAAATTATTGATATTTGTGCTCTTTGTTTTTTTCTGCCTCACAATTTTTAAGCAATAGAAATGACTTGAAGTGACACAGTTCAGTGGCAGTTTGATGTACCACATAGTGTCAGAGTAAAGACGCGCAAGCCCATTTTACGTGATCTCCCGCCATGCTGGTTTTGACTGTGCCACTGGGACTCGCAGAGCAAAGTCTTTGGTGCTCCCCAAAGAATATTCAGAGGGAGAGTCGACCCAGACCGGCTCTCAGCAGCTACCAGTGCCAAGTTCAAATTGATGGATTGTATACTTAACCTTTTTTTTATGGGGAATAATTGCCACTTGAGGACTTGGAAGTAAAATGGGGAGGGTTGGGGTAGGAAGGGCAGCGAAAAGTGACAGAGAAAGCGAGGGATATGGAAAGAACAAGTTTCAAGGGCATTTTACAGGGCTGCTTTATGCGCTCACTGTCCAGCATAACTGTGTTACGGTGTGAAATTTAGCACTAAAACATAAGGTTTGTATCGCAGCATTCCACTCATATTTGAATCACTGACGTAAGAGATTTACTTTAATGGTTGCTCCCACAGACACCCTCATACCCCTTCCCCCAAATCCATTTTCACTTTTATGTTGAAACTTCTTTCTTGCTGGGGCAGAGAGATGTTTGGTTTCAACCAGATGGGTATAGGTGAAGGGTGAGAGCTCACATGGTGCTTGAGCATATTGGAGAGCTTAACCATGGCACTGAGGTGGTCCAGGAGCTAGTCTAATCGATGGAGTGTGTGTGGATGTTGCAAGCTAAGTTTGGTAATCCGGAGAATTTAGTTTTGGGGTGGAGCGGGAAAAGGCCGATGATCGAACCCCGTGTAGGTACATAATCCCCAGGTTAGAAATTGACTGTGGTAAAGCTCCTGATAGTGCGACTGTTTCCTTTACTGATGCTCAAGTGTGGACAAGGATGGCTCGTGTGTGAATGCCCTTCATTCTCAGGAAGTGACCCTCTTCCGTAGCAAAGTGATTAAGTTGTGCTACCCTGGGGTGAGTTTCTGATTGTACAGCTTTAATCCTCCTTGTGTAACTTTGTGCTTCTGTTGTGTGGTTTCTGCTTATGCTCTACCCGTGGAGCAGAATCACCAGCTTGTTGTGGGGATTGAAGCTTCTTCTGGAGATGGGAAGGTAGAGAGAGAGAGACACAAACACACACACACATATATATATACACACACACACACAGAAAGGATCTCTTTGTGTTTTCAGTTAGTGATTTTGTGCCGTCAGCCATCTTGCCTATGCTGAAATCATCAGCCTGCCGTGAATTGTGGAAGGCATTTGCCTGTGTGGTGTGGATCAGGTTTTTTTTCGTTTAAAAACAAAGCCATTTGTGTAGTCTGAGGTTGCAGCATTCTTTGTATTCAAAGAGGTGCTGCGTAGGTTCACACAGTAATTTGCCTGATAAAGACCTGCACACAAAGTCAGGGAGAAACAGAGAGGCTTTTTTTTAAAAAAAATTCTTGTGCGCTTGCAAATCATTTCTATGAGATGGGAACTAAGAAGTAGTGCCCAGAGAATGCTTCATTTTACATCCTAATCCTGAAATTGTGAGGCTACATTTTCCTCTGATGACAGACTACAAAGTCCAGCTAAAAAGAGGGCTGTTTTTAGCTGTCTAGACGGGGTAAAATTCTATCTGTGAGTGGCAGCTTGCACTGCCTACTGTGGGGAATAATGAAACACAAAGGCACCCATTTAGTCAAGCAGAGAAGACTCAAAGGTTGTAACCTTGACTTTAGTGGATACCAAGTTGAATACAAATTGTTTTGGGGAGGAGGTTTATACTTAAGGCAGTTTAAAGCCTATTTGCTATCATGTGTAGGTGCTGTTTGCCTGGATTTTACAGTTGTGTGATTTAAGACTCTTTATTTTTCTCAAGAGGGGAGGCAAATAAAATAAGAGGTTAATATAATATTTTCCTTTGAACTTTTGTCGTAAAATGCAAGTTTGCACTTAGGACACAATTGCCTGGTTCT